ACAGCAAGGGCGGGACAAAGGCCCACAGGGCCCAGCTGCTGCTACCCTGTGCTCTCACTCACCACAGACTGCCCACGGGGACGAGGTCCCTCTTCTGCTGCAGCCCCCAGTCTCCCTCCAGAGCTGGCAGGGCAGGCCGGTGAAGTGTGGCTTCTCTCCACCCGGGTCTACGGAGGTCCTGGGAGGATGGAAGGGCAACATGGGGCATTGGCCAAAGGTGAAGTCGCCCGGGCTTTAAGGGTACGGAGGTCAGTGCCAGCACCTCCCTTTACCAGTTACCCAGTCACCCTCTGAGCGCTGATCCCTCCCGACTCCCACCCAGAGCCTCCCATCTGTCCAGAACCTCGTGTTGGACCCACTGGGCCCTCAGCCAAGGTGTGTGAGGCTGTTTGGTCCTGACACAGGGCAGGGCTGACTCGAGAGCTGGGGTCACTCATGGGTGACACCCAGGCCCCAGATTTTATAAGGATGCAGTGGAGAATGCTCAAAGGGCCCCTCGGGAAGCTGGCTCCTTTGCAGCTGGTGTGCAGGTGCCCTGGGTGGGGACATCGGGAGGCAGTGGCTGCCCAAACTCTGCCGTCTCCTGGACCCCATACACCATTTCTCACTTCTAAAGGCTGCTTCCACGCTACGGGCAGAGCCAAAGGGCAGGTTTTGGTGTCAGACCTACGTTCTAATCCTGCTAGTTTTTACGTGACTCAAGAGACCTGGTGTCGATCTCCACTGCAGAGGGCCGCTGTGAGGACCAAATGCAGATGAACCTCATGTGCTCAGTACCCTGCTCTGCATGCAGCAAGCGCCTAACACATGTAGATGACCACTCCTGGTCCAGGGTGACCTCTGACACTGAGGGAACCTTGTGAGTTAGCTGGACATTGTCCTGAGTTTCCTGCCTCGACATCCTGCCTTGGGCAGCCACGCTGGCCCAGCAGCCTCCAGCCCAAGGCTGGCAAAGGAGGCTGCAAATGACAGGGTCGTGGGCTTTGAAGGTGAGGCCTGAAGGCAGGTATCTTTTCCAGGAGGACTGAAGGCTGAATGTAGCCAGAGCAGAAGGCAGAGATGGCTGGAAGGAACCATGTGGAACCAACAGTTCCTAACAGAGTCCCTTAGCCTGCAGATGGCCGCCCAAACCCTGGGCCAGGTGCCTTGCATGCACAGTGAGGCCAGGTGGGGCGCCTTGTGACGAAGGAAGACCATCCAGCCCACAGCCGCACGTGGGCAGCTAGTCAGGGCCCCTGAGCTCCAGAGAGTGCAGGGCCAACACAGGCCCACACGGAGAAGCCTCGTCTCCCCTGCTCAGTCAACCGCAGCTAGCAATCCATGTGCACTGTGAGTTCAGGCTGCAGGCTAAGTCCTTCCTAACAGCAGGGCCACAGGTCACTGCATTCATGGCCTCTGGACGACGACGAGGAGAGCACAGAGACCACCAAACCAGCACAGAAGCAGAAGGGCCCCTCTTAGGAGGAGCAGCAAATAATCAGCTCATCTCAGGAATAAGGTCCATGAAATGACCTTGTGTCAATCAGAGTCAGAAACAGCTACTGCCCCTCACCACTCTACAAGGAAAATCAAAACTTGAAAAGACCCTGAGGAGTATAAGACCGTCCATCTCCAGAGAACTGCCTTCTTAGTGTGACATCTTTAGTGGGGACAGAGCTGCTGTTTCATGGACATCTTCTGCAGGAGCTTCCCGGGTAGCCTGGTGGCCGTGGAGAATCCAGGATGTGCAGGAAGCCCTCTTCCCCTCAGTTTCCCTACCATACGGCACAAGGACAGGGAGCTGCTGTTTAATAGGTTCCTTATGTTCGTGATTTGGGTTCATTGCTAACCTGATAACACGTTTGCAACCAAGAGTAAATGAAAGTATTTGAATTGTACACAACAGACTCGATCAAAATCAGAATCATGATATTTCTCCCCTGGGATAAATATGAAAAGTTGTTTAACTTTTCATACTGAAACGGAAGCAAAATAATTCATTAATTGCCACTTATTCCTTCTTGTACACCAAGTGCTTTCTGCTCTAGCTATCACAGGAAGAATGTGTTTTCTATCATGTCAGCGCTGTCTGGGACACATCAAATACATATTGGCTGATAAGGGGCTTCATCTTATAAGTCATCTTATAAGATGACTATCTTATAAAAAGGTTGATAATCACCTTATCTGGAGACTGAATTAATATTATAACAACGTCTTTCTCTATTGGGTGTACAGAACCATGGGGGAGTCAGGAAGCATTGGAACCACGTCTTCCCAATTTTCACTTAAGAAAAGTTTGGAGGAAACATGCCTCTCACTAACAACAAGACAAACGCTGACCTCAGGAGAGCATGAGAGCCCTCACGTGCACGTTCAGGTAAATCTGACACTTTAAACCTGCTCCGGACTCTGCTCTCCAGATTCCCATGTCGGAGTTTACTTTTTTCTTCTGTGGGTCACTTGATGGATGGCTTCATCTATTATGACACTGGAATACAAATGGCACTTGAGGACCTCTCTCGTTCCAAGTGATACTGGAGACAGGTAAAGTGAGTAGATAATAGTGTGTGTTTTTAAATATCTGTGAGTTCAGTAGTGCAAAAGATACATACAGAAGGAAGGGAAATTTAAAGACGTGTCCGGGTAGGTCCCTCAATGAATCTTCCTCCTGCAGGGCAGACAAGGTGCCTGACTTCAGCTTCCCAGTCATGAGGCCCAGTGTCTGACATTCCCTCCCATAACGGGCTTCACAGTAAATGGGATACGAAAGTTCAAGTCAAAACACAAAGAAATCATCATTCACTTCCTATTTTGGAAAGCTTAACTGATAAAGTTTGTTCTACACAATGTATTACACATTTATTATTGTGTGTGCCAGAATAATTCAGAGAGCCTTGTAAGACACAGCTTTTAAATTTATGCAAGGACAGGGACACAGCAGCCACAGGGAGCTGTATTGGCCAGGAGCAGGCCAAAGTTTTGTGCAATGGCCAAGGTTTATTGTTATTCAATTGCTACTTGATGTGGGTGAAGTCCCCAGATGCTATGACAGGGGTGATCTGGAGGGGTCAGAATCCTTTGGTGTGACAGGATGAAATACAGTACCTTAAGTACATATTTATCACAGAATCTGGTAGACACCAAGAGTTGGTTTATTTATACCTAGAGTTCAAAGAAGTGCAGGAAAGAGGCAAACCATCATGCTCCTACTTGCTTTTTGCTTTTAAGATTGGTCACACCGAGGGCTCCCGACTAAAGAGCCATGGTTAGTTAAGAAAACAGCTCAGATTTTACTCGACTTAGAACATGTTGCAAGCACTTCACAGGGTTCCCCAAGGGAGTCTCCAATGTATTCTGTCAGTTCTGAGTGAGGTAAAAAAGCCCCTGCGTGACAATCACCTGTAGCACGGCCTCGTTGTGAGAAACTGTTTACGGATCTGAGGGCTGTTCTTAGGGCTGAGGAAGAGGCCTAGTTTGCTGTCCACCCTGGGTGGATGTGAGACAGTGGCTCAGACGGAGTCCCCTAGTGTAAGACACAGTCACTTGAGGCCAATGTTCCTACATGGTAGGTCCCTGGTCTTGGGGAACATCTGCTCCACTTAAGGTCAAAACCTTCGAGGAAGACAGCAGTCGCATTTCTGGTCAATTTTGTCCGACTGAAGGTGATTGCCAAAGCCCATCACCTCTCCTGCCAAGAGTCAGCCCGCTCACCAGGGACCCCTCAGCAGACGGCTTCTCCATGGTTATAGAGAGGAATCCTATTATAGATCACTGTGATTTAACCTACAGATCCTCTGCTCACGTCTGTGGCCATGGTCACTGCAGATGCAGTGAATCAGTGGGGATTTTGCTGAGAACTAAGTATCCTGAGACGGTGACACACTCCTCTGGCCTGAAGGTCCCTGTGGATGAGGGACCATCTGCTCTTGGTACGAGGTCAGCACACACACACTATTCTAGAAAGACAGTGTCTACTATCTCTTCAGATTCTTTGGGGATGTTTTTCTAGGTCCTTTGGCTCTGGAGACATGGGTGTGGCCAAAGTCTTAAGTGGTCATGAATGCCATGGCACCTCGTTCTGCCTGGCCAGTTGGACTGCTGCTCTGTGGAGGGTGGCCACCTGTGGCATGGTAAAGTCTTCCTCATTTCTCACTGGGTCAGCTTCCTGGAGGAGTTCACAGGCCAACAAAGCAGCAACCATAGATGCATCAAGTCCTGGTAAAGCACAAGTGCCTGGTGACCGTGCCTCGTGGTCACTGGCTGTGCAGCTGTGTTCAAGAACTCCGCAACAGGGCTGGGGATGTGGCTCAAGCGGTAGCACGCTCGCCTGGCATGTGTGCGGCCCGAGTTCGATCCTCAGCACCACATACAAACAAAGATGTTGTGTCCGCCGAAAACTAAAAAATAAATATTATAAAACTCTCTCTCTCTCTCTCTCTTAAAAAAATAGACATTATTAAAAAAAAAAGAACTCCGCAACAGTGGGTTCACTCTGACCCCATGATCCCAGGATGATGGCCTTTGCCCAGAAACACTGAATGAATTCCACGCACATGAAACCCAGAGCAAATCAGCAAGTTTGGCAGATTTTTTGAAACTAGTCAATTTTTCTGATGTTTGTGGACAATTGCTTCAAAAGGGCAGAAAACACTAAATTTGGTTCTTAGAACCTATTCCAAGCCGATGGGTCGTGCTTTGGAGTAAGCTATCAATCGGAACACTTGTCCTTCCATAGGGTGTGTACGTGTGTGTGTGTGTGTGTGTGTAAGTAAATGCCACAAACAAAATCTTAAAGCCCAAAGTCACTGTCTCACAGAAGAGGCCATGCCCTTTAATATGTTTGGAGATGATATTTTGTGAGTAAAAACTGTGAAATACCCGATACTCAGTCGGGAGATCTCACTAGACCCGAGGCAGAACCCTGCAACGAGGCTCCTCCAGGAAGCTGGGACTGCGGTCTTCTCTCCCCACCGCCTCCCCACCGCGTCCCCACCGTGCCCCCGTGATGGCTTCTCACTCTGACGTCCCTCCCTCTGCCCTTGCTCTGCCTCCTCCCTTTCCTCCGCCTCCTCCGACAGCCACGCTGGGGTGGGCTTGCGGAAGGAGAGGCTTTTGGCAGGCGAGTGGCTGCCGCAGAGCGCCAGGTGGTGGCACCAGAGCCTCCGGAGGCCTGTCCCTGGGGCGAGTGCAGAACCGAGCCCACCGAGTTCTGAGGTGGGCCTGGGGCACCTGGAGGACGTCCCCGGGGCTGTAGGAGAACCGGCCGGCCTCTCCTCAGTGCTGCCTGGAGAAGAAGCTCTTGAAGGCGCTGCTGTAGTTCTTGTTGAAGGCCGTGTAGATGAGCGGGTTGAAGAAGGAGTTGGAGTAGCCGAGCCAGAGGAAGACGCTCTTCCAGGCAGCAGGGACGTCCCAGGAGCAGAGGGGGCTGATGAGCTCGGTGACAAAGAAGGGGATCCAGCAGAGCACGAACACCCCGATGAGGATGCCCACCATGAGGGCCGCCTTCTGCTCCTTCTGTTCCCGCCACGTGTCTCCTTCTGTCTGGAAGGTGACAGTGGCTCGGCGGACCGTGAACGCCATTTGGGGCTGCTGAGCAGAGTTCTTCACCTGCAAGACACAAGCAGAAGCTTTGTGAAGAGCCCCCTTGTCCCACCTGCCAGACTCGGCCAGGCCCAGCCAGGTGCCCATGGGCCTGGCCCTGCTCATCCGCTCTGAGAGAAGGTGTGGGGCTTAGTGTGGGAACCCAAGGCCTGTGGGACCCGACTTAGAACATGGACATAGTGACAGAGCTGGGCTGTCCACTTGCATCTGAGAGGAGGTGGCACGGCAGGGGCATCTGCCTGCTCAGCAGAGGGGACAGCCCTTATGTGTGTCTACTACAGGCATCTCCGCCTGTGGAACAGACTCCAGACCCTGGGACTGCCCCTCCTGGTGACTCCCCTGGCCTCTGCAGGGAAGGGTCCTGCAGAGTTGAGCCCTGGCTCACTTCCTTCCCCTAGGAAATGGAATTCCTGGGAAAGAAACTCCTCTCCATGCCAGTCCTATTTTTAGCTCTCAGGAGAATAGGAAGTGAATGGCTGATGAGGTGGCGGCCTAAATTCCAAGGAGTTGCAAGCGATGGATGAACTCACAGATTGAATCAAACAAAACGCGGGGCTGGTTCTGGGCCAATCGGTGCATCTTGTGACTCCAGCATATTTTAAAGGAGCTTGTCCTTAAGCAACATGCAAACTTATCAGCACCAGGCTTATCAGAAAATATGCCTGGTTGAGTCCAACCGCTTAACCAGTGCATGGATACATTTATAAATTGGAGTCAAAAGACACTGACAGATCTGTCATTCAGAATATCTGAGATGGAAATAAGAACACTGTGGTTAAAACAATATAGTCAGTGTATGCATTATTCTAGTTGGATGGTAGCCTTGCTGGCATTTGTTAAAAACAGTGAAACATCAAGTGCTGTGCAGTTGAAGACAAATATTGGAACAACTAGTTTAGAGCACTGTAATCTTTAACATCAGATATGAGAGGAAGTGAAAAATCTTCTTTCTGTATCCCACTCGCACCCCAGACAGAACCAGAGTTACCTGTGATCTTATTTATGCACATCTGGGAATGTGTCTCAAGGGACTCATTTGTAGAAATGTGTATGCAATATTCAGCAATAACGAGACAGGGACTCTTACCAATTTTCTAAATAAACTCAACTTCAAAACCATATCAGGGAGAGCATCTTTCCCCATTGTCCAAAAATGGTAATGAAAAAAACAATCCTGGCCAGACTCTCCCACCCCAGGAAGTTCCCACAGGTGACCCTGAGGCGGTGCTCACACTGGGCAGCACGTGTTTTGCTCTGCATCAAAAATCATTTGCACGATTTGCCAGCCAATGGGGTCAGGCTCCCCCAAAAGTGCAGCTCTGAGAACCTCTCAGCCCAAGCAACCATACCGTTCAGATGATGTCAGTTCACTGCTCCTCTCAGTGACCCCTGCACTCTGCCACCCAACCCCCATGGATGGCGCACATGCTTCTCTGCTCTGGGGCCGATGCCTGAAGCACAGAGCTTTCTCTTAACAATCGGTGCCATGAATCAGCTGGTCTTTCCATCTCACCCTTGCACAGTTCTGGTGGTCCCACTCAGGCCCTGAGGACTGTGGCATCCTTGGACCCCAGGTACATTCACTGGGCCCCAACTCCAGCTGCCCTTCAGCTCTGTAGGTTAGTACTGATGATGGTGGTCTGAGTTCCTCTGAGTCCCCTGGGCTTTGCTGCTCAATGTACTTTACTATCCTAGGGTTTGTAACCAAGTATGTCCTTACACAAGGTCATGAGGCCAAGGTCTTTGTATGAAGTACCTAGGTTTCTGATTGAGAGGTCTACCATTAGGTCATTGACTTAGACCATTACATAAAGCTTTAGACCTATTATCTGAAGCTGTACCACTAGCAAACATTATTACGCTCTGCTGCTGCTGGCTTAGGTTTCACTGTTTGCCTATATGGACAAAGTCTTGGGTTCAGTTTTTTGTGGGTCTTGGAATGCCTTTTTCTGATGAAGATGAAAGAGATGATTCTAGAAGGCTTAGGCCTGGTAAGCTTCCAATGCAACTCAAGCAAACCTGAGGGTCAATGATGCTTTAAGGACTATTAGACGACTGGCCAGCTTGTGAAAAATCAATGGTCAAACTTTGCTTTGGATCTCCTACAAAACATCTGGGAGAACCATCCTGTCCTGGAAATTTGTGAGTGTGCCACTGTGTTTAATTGGTGTCCAGCTCAATGATGGTTGGGTAGTAATCGCAAGGCCCCTCCCAGCCTCTATGTGGTCAGAGATCTGAGACCCTGAGACACTGTTCACAAACATGAACTGCTGAGCAAGCACAGAGCTTCTGTCCTGTGCATCACGGTCAGTCCTGCCAGCCTCAGCCTTACTATATATGCATGACCCCAGCAAACAGGTCCTTAAGAGGCTCAACATCCTATACTGGCTAAAAAGCAGAATGGCAGCCATCTAAAGTCTGTCCAACAAAGCAACTTCAAGGGAGATGTTAGCACCCAACAAATCCCCACCCTTCTCACCATCCAAGGGTGATTATGAATGTCTTTCTTGCTGTGTGAGGTTCCCTATGACCACCTCTAACTCCACTACAGAACATCAGATCATTCAGCATAAATTTTTAAAGTTAGCTAAAGAAAAGAAGCAAATCAACTTGTAGTAAGTTTTTTTAAAAAAAAATTAAGAACAGGAAAAAATTTCTTTAACAAGAAGATTGGTTGTAGCAGATGGTAAAGGGAAATAATGAAAGACAAATTTATGACTACATACTACATTTTAAGGCTTGAGGGGAAAGTCAACTTTGTTTGATAGAAAAATTCAAGTAGCAAGAATCTTTAGCAATCCTATGTGCCGACTTACAACTGATGTTTCAAGGTCATTATCAGAAGACTACTTCTTTCATCCCTGTGACATATCCACAAGTTCAACAGGTAGGATCTGCTTCTAGATGAGAGCTGCAGCCCTCTACTTGACCAGACTGTAGTTGATCTAGGCATGAGAATACCTCTACCGTGTGTAGCTCAAGAAGTCACTAGAAGCTCTGTCCTAGGACAGGAGACCCCACAGCCAGACAGATCCATTGGCATAGAATGCATGGATTCAGATGAATTCTTCCTAAGTTGTCATAAACTTTTATCTTCATACATAAAAGAACATGCTGAGCCATGCTCTATGCAGCTCACCACGAGGTCACACCTGTGGAAGAACAATGACCTATTCTAGTCCCCACTTCATCGAGTAACCAAGGCCTTGCCTCCCTGCCAATTGCCAGCATCAACTAGAGTAGTCAACACTTTAGGGTAGGCCTTTAAGTCTTGGGTCACCACATGCAATATGCCCCAATTGCTAACTAAAATGACCCAATGGTTCCCGCCAGTTGAGTGTAGTGATTCTCCCTTCCCAGTACGAGCCAGTGCTCAAACACACAGGACCCGGCAACTCTAAGATCCTCAGCCAATGGAATCACAGCATCCTGATGGTGCTTCTGAAATTGACGTGACCTTGTATAGATCAGACCTTTGCAACACTAGGTCCATGCTCCAACTGACTATTATTTGGAGATGGATATTTTATTTAATAGATATTAATAAAATGGCAAAACCAGGTTTGATATAAAATAAGCAGTCCAGTCTCTCTTACGAAATTCAATTTCTTGCAGAAGTCAAATTGTTCAATGGCTGAACAGTGGCCATTTCCAGGACACACCAATTTACTCAAATAAAAGAGAAGATTAAAAAGTAAAGTAACGTGGGCTGGGGCTGGGGCTCAGAGGGAGAGCACTTGCCTAGCACGCATGAGGCACTGGGCTCAATCCTCAGCACCACAAATATATAAAATAAAGATATTGTGTTCACCTACAACTAAAAAATAAATACTTAAAAAAAACTAAAGTAACAACTGTATGTGTTCAGAATAATTCACTTATTTAACATGCTAGAGAAGCATCTTCTTCAGGTACTCTTTAAAAAGAATAATGTAAATTACTGGATAACTTGGTGCCACCTAAAATAGTTCTAAACTGAGGGCTTCCAGAGGGCCTCTAATGCAGAAGTGTGGACAGTGGTGGCTGACCAAGAGCCTTGAAACAAGCAGATGACCCTGGGAATTGACGATCTTTGGATAGTACTCATGAACCACGTATCTACAACTACGCTGGAGTTGATCACATTGAAGCTGACCTCCTGCATAGATCCCGGGCCGTCTTCCTGGGCTGAGGGAAGCTTCTCCATGTTCTCCCAGGAGCCAGGTGAAGTGCCCAACAGAACCATAAATCAGGTCACTCCAGGATTTACTCTCTAATACTTTGGTGGACTGTATCTCCTTACAAAGTTCCAGAGGATACAACTTTTTCAGTGAAAACACTATGATAGTGACCACATTCATAGAAGTTAGATAAATACAGGTTTTCATTTTTTTTTTTAAAAAAAGGCATAGTGAATAATGTCTATGTTGGTGGCATAGCGAATTTTACAGCCTAGGCTTTAAGGCCACAATAAAGCAGCTTAAGTATCCTAACCCACATGGTCATGATTAATGGAATAGCCTTAAATTTCTTTTAGGCAAGCATAGCTAATTCTTCATGCTGTAACTGGATTAATACAGCAGAAAATTATCTATATTTAAGCTAGAAGAAAAGTCAACCTAGATACACAGAAAGATGCCTGGAACCTTTGGGACTTGCTTTCAGAGCAGAACTGGGAGATCTCAGGAGCGTTCAGAAGCTCTTCGGGTCCCTTCCTTACAGTGTGTCTATTGACACTTGTTTGCTCAGAGTCCAGGACTTCACATGCTTCTGCACAAGCTGACCTGATGGGTGATTTAGCACATGACTCTTAAAGAAGGCTAAAATCATGCTAATTGATGTGCAGTCCTCCCTGTCCCCAGGGCTGGGGATGGAACCCAGAGCCTTCTGCATGCTAGGTATGTCCTCCCACACTGAGCTCACTCCTGTCCCTGGACATGTGATCTTGCCATCAGCTCTTCACAGGTGAAACCTCACCTTCAAGGAGAACAAAAAAACAGGGTTGAAAACGTGGACAGCTCTCCATGGTCTCTCCAGAAGCTTTGGCTACATGAGGACCAAGAGTGGGGGGCTGAAAACTGAATGTTCCGCAGACTGAGGAAAAGACTGAAATGCAGAGCCAGCTTTAAGCTGTTCCACTAATCCTGGGAGGCTCAGTTGGTGATGGTGCTTTTACAAACCAGCCTCTGAGTGTCAGCCCCGCACTTCTAAGTCAGCCCACCAAGGGTGTGCTCAATAAGCACCCCCAGAGATACAAGCAAACAACAGCTGCTTGCTCAGATGGTGTCGACACCCTCGCACCTGAGGGCTGAACCTGAGCTCCACACCTCCCAGAGCACCCTTAAGACCTGTGTCCTGCTCTCTGCTCAGGTGGGCATGCCTGACCAGCCTGGCTGTCTGTCATATTGCTTCAGAGCTTCAGGAGTGGCCCCTCATCCTGTACAAGGACAGGCCAGTTGGTCTTGTGTGGCAGTTCCCAGCAGAGAGTCTCACATAGGTTAGGGCTTCAGCATAAATTTGAATAAAACTCAGCAGATAAAAAAACTAGGAAGATGGGATGTGGTCTCCCTAGGTAACACAGCTAGCTGGTGGTAGAACTGTATTTAGAAATTTTGACACCCATTATCACAGAGCAATCAGGAAGCCTGGTTTGTAATTAACCCTTCAACATAAGGACCAAGGCAGCCCTGCATCATGTGCAGAGCCCTGGATCACGCAGAGGCCTTGCAAATCACAGGATCTGACTCCAAAAGTAATCTGGCAGAGAGAGCAAAAACAAGCTGTGTGTGTGTGTGTGTGTGTGTGCGCGCGCGCACGCGCGCACGCGCGTGCATGTTAAATCACCCTATCATCAAAGCAGAGAAATGAGAGCAGTGCTCTTTCTTGCACAATAAGTCTCCAATTAGAACTTCAATTAATTTTGCTTCCTAAAGCTGCGTGTGGTGTTAACTGAAAACCATGTTTGCCTGGATGAGATCCCGGCTGAAGAAGGTTCACGTGAAGAAGGCCCTTGGAGGTGGCCCGTCCTCTTGCTCCTGACCTGGAATTTGGGTGGACAGTCACACACATGGAGCTGGCTCAGGGCTCTGTAGTGGAAGCCCTAGCATTTATACCTGGCAGTACTCCTTGTATCATGTAGAAATTCAACAGATCAGAGTTTCCAAAACGTGGCACTGTGGACGTTTGGTCTGAGGTGGCCAGTCTGTGCATCACACATGTTGGGCAGCAGCCCTGGCCTCTCTGCACTAGATGCCATTGGCACACCTGCCCAGGTCTTGATTGTCAGATGTCTCCAGATAGTCCAGGATTCCCTGGGTTGCAATATCACCCTGGGCTGAGGACACGATATCCTCTGGTCCCTTTTTCCTTCTTTCTTTTAGAATAATACTCTCCCCTTCTTCCCCTAGCCACACCTTTGGTCCCTCTAATCTTGAATGACTGGGTATGGACAAAATTAGGTACTCACTATAGGAAATGCAGCCACATGCAGAGCTCCAGAGGGGCGTCCATCTCCCTCACTGGAGAAAACTCTTCATGTACAAAGACCATGTGTTATCATTCCTTACTTGTTGCATCAAGCCATAATGTGCATAGATACACTTATAAATTAATTGTATTTGTTGTCCTGGAGCCCATAATTTAAACATGTGACTGAGGTTCAAAAGGGCATCCTTGGTCATGAAGAGCGGAAGGGTGGGGAGCACAGTCTCCACACCCAGTGGATTCTGCTTTCCTGTAACTTCAGATTATGAAGAGTTAACAAAAAGCAGGGAAGCAAGTCTGGGAGAAGATGAGAAAAGCCTTCACTGTTGTCACATATTCCGTGCTGCTTGGAGGGAGCAGAGGAGTTATCTGCCCTGGGTTTTCATTTCCTCCTGTAGTTTCACTCCTGATCAGGAAGGCAGACAAGTGGCCCTCAGCTGCACATGCAGCCTTCTGGGGCCATGGGGACAGACCCAGGAAGTAGCCCCACAAGGCAACAGAAGCAGACAGCAGATGCAGGCACTGAGACTATTGTAAACATCTTTAATCTTATGCCAGGAGGCAAGGATGCTTACAATGACAGCTCGTAGCCTAGGAGATGCCGTATTTACAAAGTCAGCTGCTATAACTTGCAAAGAAAAAAGGGCTGAAACAAAACCCTAAGCTGTTGTGACTGATACGTGGCAATCTTCCTAGCAATCGTGCTCACTTCCTGCCCAAGAGTATCCTGCTCTCAGTGCAGGAAGATGCAGGTTTTTCCAGGGTATTGACTCAGTGTACCCCAGACACCAGCTTTTTCAGATGTTCTAAATGGTGTTTCAGACCCACATGGTTTCAGTGCCAGAGGGGATCAAGCAGAACATGGAGCTCAAACTCCTCATTTTATATGTAAGGCAATAACCCCTCAGAGCCACAAATGACATGAGTAGCTCTGCACCACAGGAGGGTCTGGTGTTCACTTTCTCTGCCCAGGATATCCCCCCCACCCACCAAAAAGTTGTTTTTTTTTTTCCTGCACCATGGGGGAGGAGTACGGGAGATAAACCCTGGACAGTTGCAAGTGAAGTATTTTTAAGGGTCGTTGCAGCACCCACCTCCACAACTTCAGGTTCAGGTGAGACTCTGTTGGTCTTCCTGGAGCCCCCGCGGAACTTGGAGGCCTTGTAGATCTTCCAGTAGACGAAGAGCACCACGCACAGCGGCAAGTAGAAGGCGCCCACGGTGGAGAAGATGGTGTAGGAGGGCTCACGGCTGACCTGGCACTCCTCACTCTGTTCAGAATATGTCTCCCCCCAGCCGAAAAGCAGCGGGGCCAGAGAGATGATAGCCGAGAGTGCCCAGGTAAGCATGATCATCACTTTGGAGATGCGCTTGCGGGCGCGGAGCGTGTACTCCAGGTGGCGCGTGATGGACCAGTAGCGGTCTAGGGCTATGGCCGTCACATTCCAGATGCTGGCTGTGCAGCAAAGCACGTCGCACGCAATCCACAACTGGCATAGACGTCGGCCCAGCTGCCAGCGGCGCCCCGACAGCTCATGCACCAGACTCAGCGGCATGACCAGCGCGGCCACCAGCACGTCCGAGATGGCCATGGATGCCACCAGGTTGTGTGGCACACGGTGGAAAGTGCGCACTCGGAGGATAGTCGCCAGCACCAGCAGGTTCCAGGCAAACGTGGCCACTACCAGAAAGCCTAGCAGGGTCAGAACAAGCACTCCAAAGACGGAGGGGAGGGGTGGGCTGGGGCGCAGGTTTTCCGCACCAAGACTGCGGTTGGGCTCCAGAAAGGAAGGAGTGGAGAGGGAGAAGGTCAAGTTCACAGGCAAATCCATCTCCGGACCAGAACACGGGCCACGGGGCTCGCACAAAGGGTGTTCAGGGGACTCAAGGTGGCCACTGCCCCCAGAGCCAGTGTGGGCGCTGGCAACCTCTAGTCAGTGGAAGCTCTCTGGGCAGCGCCTTGAATGGGGCCCAACCTCCTGCCGGCGAGCGTCCCGGAGAGATGGAGTGAGACGGGGGAGGCGGGCTGCAGGCGGGGTCTCGGAGAGCAGGGTCCAGGAGCTGAGCCTCCCACCAGGGCCGCCTAAGAGGTGACTCGTCCCGGGTGCCTCACCTCCGCGGAGACGCTGTCCGGTCGCTCGGAGCCCAGCGTCTCGCGGGTCGGCCCCGCGGCTTGTGGGTGCCCCGAGCGGGGCTGTGCGTCAGGGCGGACGCTCTCCCAGGGCTGCCCGGTGCCCGCGCTTCGCCAGGCAGCGGCCGAGCTGCGCGCGGGGAGGCCGGGCAGGTGCCTGCTCCCTGGGAACTGCCTTCTGCCCTGCCCCTGTCCCGTGCCCACCGCGTCTGGGGCGGCGGCTCAGAGAGCGAACGCCGGCGCGCCCCCCGGACCTGCCTGATCAAAGTGGGGATCCAGCCCGACGTCAGACGTCAGCTGACCGCCCCTCTCCCGGCTCGCGGCTCCGGCGCTGTCCGCCTCCCCCGCCCCAGCGCGCCGATTGGCGCTGTCCTCGGTCCTGTCGCTCTTGTGCGAAGCGGGTCCCCTGCGTGGAACAAGTTGGCCAATGAACTTTCTGGAGCCCTTCCTCCGACCACCCCCGCACTCGTCCCTCGGGAGGGGGTCTGGAGACCTGGAGCCGCGGTTCAGCTTTCGGAGGGTGCTGGTGTCCGCGTGCCAACGCCGAGTGAGGCGTCCGGGGGCATTCTCCTCCAGATCTCAGCATGGGAGTGCTTCTGTCTCACTCTACACACAGTCCTTTCTTTAAAGGACTGTTTTCTTTAACGCGGAAAAGGCAAGGTGGCATTTTCGGCTGTTTCCAGAGGTGGCTAAGGTTTAGGAACTGCGATGCTCCACAGCCTTCCTCAAATCTGCGGGGTCCCCAGGGGCTCTGCTGCACTTGCTGCTGAGAAGGGAAAGGTAGATGCCCCGCGTTACATAAGCTCCATCGCACTCAGGAAAGCAGAGGAGCATTGAACTCTTCCCTCATGTGCACATATAGACAACTACACAAGCACCCGCAGAAGAGCCTGCCCAAAATCCTGACTTCAAGCACCCACAGAGATATGCATGATCCAGCAAGATGAAAGAAGATGAAATTTACATGACAGAACAGTCGGCTGGCATTAAATATTTTAAAAATTGCATTCAAAGGGTTTTATGAAATCTCTTACATTTACAAGTAACCTTGGCCCGAAGGTTTTAAACTATTTCAAAATGATAAATATTTTTTCTAAGATTCTGCTTGTAACAGAGTAAAGCATCAAGAGAATGCACTGAGGACACAGGGACTCCTCCAGTGGGGGAGGGTACTCTGAGGAAAGGCTGGTGAAAATATTATTCATTAAAAACAGGAGTATTCCCGGGCTGCTTCACCAAACACCCTTTGAAGCGACCTCATGAGAAGTGTGGCTGTGTGTGGCTGTGATCAAGAAGCAGGCTCATGCTCGCTTAGAGCACGTCACCTTCTAGGGTCATAAAATCAACTGGGATGAATTCTAAACTATAAATCTCCTTTGGAAAAAATTCCCTGGGGCTGAGGCTAACATGCATGAGGCTCTGGGTTCGATTCTCAACACCACATAAAAATAAAATAGAGATATTGTGTCCACTTAAAAAACTAATAAACAAACAAATAAATATTTTAAAAGAATGAAGATTATTAAAAAATTAAGTAAAATTTGATAGTGACTGTTATTATTTTTAAAAAAGAAAGAAAGAAATTCCCTAAACAATTCTGCATCTGGGTTCAGGAGTCGGTGACCTGGGGGGGAGGATGAGCAGTGGGGGCCTTGGTGTAGCTTTCCACTTAGACCTTCAGAGGCAGTGTGGGCTTGTGATTGTCTCCCGTGCCAGAGGGGCACAGCCTCTGAAGGGATACCTAACTGAGCAGCAGTCCAAGCCGGGATAGCTGGGGACATTTTTGGAGACTTTGAAGTGGCATGAAGATGGAAACTGAACGGAGTGCCCCCACTAGGAGAGTCAACAGATTCTCTCCAGAAGAAGAGAGAGACTGTCCAGTGTGTCGCACACAGACACAGGCAGGAAACCAAAACGTCACAGCTTTTAATCTTAAAGCATGGGCCCAATTTCAGTTGAGAAAAATCTTAAAAGGCAGCATCAAGGGACAAAACTTCCTGGATTAGCACCTGTTGTGGGTGAACGTATCCCTGATCCCCCCAAAATCATACGCTGATGCCCTAATCCCCAGAACCTCAGAGGGTAACTGTACTTGGAAATGGGCTCTTTAAAGGGGTGGTTAAGTAAAAATGAGGCCATTAGGGTGGATCTTCACACAGTCTGACTAATGTGCTTATTTTAAAAGGATATTTGGACACACATGGTGGCGCCAGGGCTGAGTGTGCAAAGAAAATGCCATGTGAAGGTACAGCAAGAAGGTGGCCCTGTGCAGGCCAAGGAGAGAGGACTCAGAAGAAACAAGCCCTGCCGACACCTGGCTCTTGACTTCCAGACCCCAGAACTGTGAGCAAAGACATTCCTTATGTCAGAGCCATCCAGTCTGTGACATTTGGCTGTCACACTCCCAGCAAATGAACACACAACCCAGCAAAACCCTTGCAGAAGGTACTAGCAGATGATGGAACATGTCACCAGGCTGGGTGGGGTTCCTGATACTAACAAACCACAGGACGTCGACTCAGACCTGTTCCTTAGAGGATCCAGTTTGTAGACCCCTCACTATCAACAGAGGGCAAGCCCAGATGTTTACGGTAGCTACTTAAAGTCTGTGATCAAGCCACATCATAGGCATATAGAAAGACACTCATTTTACATTTTCTACCATGGGACAGTGTGCATCTGTTTCATTCAGATTGGAGCTGATTCTTAAGCAACATGTTTGGAAATGAGAAAAAATAAATAATGCACAACATAGCCTGACTTTATCCCCCTTACAAGAATGCTGTGGGCCAGAGTTTTTCGACCCACGCTAACCATCACAATGTTATGAAATCACTGAGTCTTTAAAGGTGGCTCTAACTATATAAAATCTTCATTATGTACCAAGCATTAAATAAGTGTACCTTTATGATTATACCTCAAAATTTTTGTGGACTACTGTTGGCCCTATTTTATAATTGGGGAAACTGTGTCTTAGAGATAAAGTGACTTGCCCCAAATCAAATGATGTTTGAATTTGAAAGTCACTTTAAGACTGAGCTCTGCTTCTGTGGGTTTTACTGTATTAATAATCAGGATGTCACCATCGTTGCAAGCTGAGCCCTCGCTCTGTCAGTGCAGACTGCCATAAACACAACAAAGAGACTGGGTGGCTTAAACAGCAGAAGTTTATATTCTCACAGTATTGGAGGCAGAAAATCCAAGATCAGGTTGCCAGCACTGTCACATTCTGGTGGGGGCTCTCCTCTGGCTTGGACATAGCTACTTTCTCTCTCTGTCCTCACATGGTAGAGGGAGAGGAGAGAGGCCAGAGTCCTATTGGACTAAGTCTCCACCCTTATGACATCATTTAAACTTACTTACCTCTGAAAGATTCTCTCTCCATAAATGGTCACACTGGGGTTAGGGATTCAACATGTGAATCCACAGAAGCATGATTCAGTCCATGGGCACCCCGAAGACCACTTACTGTTTTCAGAAATGATAAGGGAAATATCAAATCAACATACAGAATTCTTGATCATTCCCAACCAACTTTTTCAAGTACAGTAAAATATAGGAATAGCTAGAGAGGCCATTTCTAATGTTTACCTTCTCCATGTGCATAACAAAATCCAGGAAAATCCAAGCTTTCTGTCTATTAAGAAGAACTTCTGTGGATAGAGTGATTGGCATGCATGCAGGCTACAACTTAAGGGAGAGTGTTCCACACACTTTTTAAAAAGTTGCTTACCCCTGTTTATATATGAAAAGCTTATTTTCTTATCCATTGAGGTTATTTAAACATAGACAACAATCATGTGTCACTATGCTGAAAGTTAAAGAGCAAGGGTAGGCTGGGGCTATAGCTCAGTTGGTAGAGTGCTTGCCTTGCATGTACAAGGCCCTGGGTTCGATCCCCAGCATACACACACACACACACACACACAAATAAATAAATAAATAAATAAATGCAAGAGTGCCACTGCATGGGGGGGCACTGCTTTTCATGTATGACCTCTGAGGAGCCATGTATCTCATGCAAACTGAGTCTGCTGGTGACACGGTAACAAGATGTTGGTAAAGTACACAATCTTTCTTTTTCAAAGGATAAAAAGAAACTAATGGAAGAAATTGTCAAACCACACCCCATAGATTGTCTCACACACTTGATATTCATGTGCCCAATTTTGAGACCATTAACTATATATTATTCTCTGGTTCCAGCAGGAACATAGGACCACACATGTAGACTTGATTGATGTGAAAATGTAGCCAGGGTTGAGGGCCATCTTTGGGAGCAGGCTTGGGGACATCTGCTGCATTCTTTCAGCTTGAGCTCATAATTGGACCCTAATGCCAAGCCTTTCTGAGTCGACAGAATGGCTGTGTGTTTGTTGGTTCTTGGTGGTGGATTATTTCTTGAGATGGGATTTTACTGATCTTGGGCTTGAGCTCACGATATCCTTGTCTCAGCCTCCTGAGTAGCTGGGATTACAGATGTGCACCACTGTGTGGGCCACACCTCCATTTTGATTAAGAGCTATTGAGCTGCCCACGCTGTAGGCAATCTAGTATGCTGGGTAATTAATTTTTGAGGTTATTAAACTTCTTTATTGTTGTTTTCTTGTTACACCCAGGAAAGAGCCTAAAAATATGTTAGGCTCTCATAAACATTGGATCATATAAGAATTATCATAAGGCCTGGGGCTGGGGCTCAGCAGTAGCACACTTGCCTGGGTTGAATTCTCAGCACCACATATAAATAAATAAAGGTCTATCAATAACTAAAAAAACCCCTATTTTTTTTAAAAAAAGAACTATCATAAAATTATCACCTGAGTAAACTAGTGTTTGGGCTTTTAATGGAGGAACAAGCAAGAGTATCTGAGTGGAAACACTGTAATACAAAAATTAACCCCCTGGGGGCGCCTCAGAGTGGTGTTACACTTTTTTTTTTTTTTAAGCAATTGTTCTACTCAAAGCAGAACATCCAGAATGGATAGATGTCAGGTTGTTACTGAAGTCTTATAGAAATTAGCTTAGGACACTGTTTTGGAAACTGTCACTAAA